GGAGAAGTTGAATGCTATTTTGTGTCTCAGTATTTCTATTGAAGAAAAGCTCTATTTATTCTTACATACAGCCATTCTTCTCCCCAGGGGCTCGCAGGCCAAGAACAACCATTTCAGTTCTATTCCTATGCTGGATTTAACAAGCAAGATGACTTTTCCTCTTGTGATGAATTTATCTCTCAAGGCATTAGGATATCACTTCTTAGATTTAGTCTTGCCTACTATAAATCACAATGGCAGTTACAAATGTCTCCCTGTAGCTGAGCCCCTAGTTTATCAGAATAGGGGATAGATACATTGTGAGAAAATAGAGTTTGGGGGAGATAAGCAGCGAGGATCATCTAACTCCACAGTACAAATTTATCCATTGATCAGTCCAACCTGGTCAGAGCACCTGTTTACATGTATAGGGAACGGAAAAATCCTGATGAAAGAGATATCTCCCTCTCCAGTTCTATTGCTGTTGCCAGGCAATTTCTTCACTGATAGTTCTTTAGGCACTAGCATAAATTTCCTTGCTTGAAACACATTAGCAAAAATGTGCCAAATATACATTTTCTTGGAGAGAAATCTTTGAAGGACTACTGAGTTTTCTTGTAAAACTATCAAACTTCAATTTCCCCAGACATACATTCTTCATAGTCTTGGAGGCAGTCACCTATGTACCTTGTAGGTAAACAGGTAGGCCCTTTGGAAGTGGAAAAAACATTGTTTTGAGTCATCCACCTAAATTTATGTCACAGAAAAATTGCTCACTGCAAATTAAAATGGCAAAGAAGGATTTCTTCAAGGCTATTGCAATAGAGGATACATATGGAACACAACTCTGAATGCAGTATGGACAAGTAGGGATATAGAGCCAACGGGCAAAGAGAAGGGGGTCAGTGGATGGGAAATTACTAGGAGGCGATATCAAGGATGGGGAGATTCTTGCTAAAAAGGCAAGACAATGCTGATGCCTAATTGAGAAGGGGACTCAGAAGAGTCAGACTAAAATTTGGATAAGGTGGGAATCTTTATCAATCCCTGAGGACAATGCTCAGAGTGGATCTCACTAACCAGAGTTACATTCAGGCTTTGAGAATCATGCCTGTAAAGTTCAGAAATGTTGGGAAAGGCTGTTTGTGTATTATCACACTTCTGTATTTATTCATTAAACTTTGTTCAAGTGGTAACTTTCCAATCAACTCAATATCAAAATGTATTAATTTAGGACTTTTTTGAAAGGTCATAAAAGATTCTGAAATAGGAAATTATTTAAATAATATTCAAATAATTTGATAATAATGTTCCTGGATCCTCTCCAAATATTTATGCCCTTAAGAATTTATTTTTTCAATGATGGCTACCATCTTACCACAATATCTTCTTTTACTATACAATCCTTTTATACTATAATATACTACACTATACTATATTACACTGTACTATACTGTGCTACACTTCTATTCCTTATCTGCACATATAACTTCACCAAGTTATCACAGTCATTAATTTAGGAAATTAATCTGTAAAAAATATTTTTCATCCTTTATAATCTGCTTAGATAGGACGTGGTTTCCATTAAAGCTGAAAAAGTCTTCAATGGTCATCTTTTCCAACCCTCTCATTTAGCAATTTACGAAACAGAGGTCCAGGCCATTTAGCATTTTAATTAAGTTTGGGAGTTAATACTGAGCTAAAAATAAACATAGGATTCCATATCTTAAGGTTAACATTCATTCTAGTATCAAAAATAGTCAGAATTAAGAATTTTTTAAAAGCTTAAACTAAGCATAATAGAAAATACTGGTTCCTCCTGCTCCTCTCAGAGGAGATAAGTAAGGACTCATTATCATCATCTTTAGCTATAAAGGAGTTGATATGGTGCCTGAATTAAAGAGTTTCTTGCACTTTGTACATCCTGTGATTTATGCTGAATATGTCTTTTACCAAGAGTTCTAGTGAAATATCAATAGAAATTGTAGGAAAACCTTAAACCAAAAGTAGAGAGATTTGTCGCTTTTCCCTGAGATTGTCACCAATAAACTGTGTGATCCTCCAAGTTTCTTAACCTTCCTAATCATAGTCTTCCCAGCTATAAAATAAAAAAGAATATATAATTATTTAGGTTTCTTACAGTTTGAAAATGCTGGCTTTTAATCTTGCATTAAACTGGATGAAGGTGGATAAGTATATATAAAGAAAGCACTTCACATTAGTTAGTGCACAGTAAGTCCTCAATATAAAGTTTGGGAATTAAGGGAATTATTATCCCTTGTTTACCTCCCTCCCTCCCTTCCTTCCTTCCTGTGTTCCTGTATGAGATGGAAAATGCAGAATGGGGAATAATGGGAAGCCTGGGTGGCTGGTGAGCAACAGTGTTAGCGAAAAAACTGCCTTAGACTCTAGATCACTCACTTGATTAGAATGTTAGTATACACTACTTAAGTCCTAAGGGAAAACAGTATAAAATCATTTTTAAAAACTCAACAGTCTAAGAGAAGGAACATTCTCTTTAACAAATCACCAATGTAATGTTTTATAGCTTTAATTTTCAAGATTCAAATCTAGACACATTCTCTCAAAAAAAACCCTAAACTTCATGTAGATCTAGCATATCAAATATCTAACAAGAGCATATCAACATGGAGTAATAATGGAAAACTGGTAATTAGTGGTTTTTATTCCTCATTCAATGGCCTTACTAACTAGCAATCAAATACTTTGAATTATATGGCCTTTTTTCTCACCAATTCCCTCATTCATCAGCCTAAGTATTTAAATCCTTTTGGTGTTCTCAACCTTTATCAACTATAAAGGAGTTGATATAGTGTCTGAACATATACTTACAGTAGGATCTAAGTATACTTAGATGACTAAAAATATTTCTAGCCCAAAGCAATGCCCCTGTCTAATTTAAACAGTTGAGCAAAAATCACAGGCAATGAGTCAGTTCTTGGGTAGAAGCCTTAGTCACTTGAACTTGATTGAAGTGTGTAATGGGCTTTTTTTTTTTTTTTTTTTTTTTTTTGATTTAGCCAGCCACTCATCTAAAGAAATTATTAAAGGATAGGAAAAATATATAAAATGTGATCCTGGTATGTGGGAAGTTTAGACTTTTGGGGAGCAGTTTTAAAAGGCAATGCCACAGTTCGTAAAAGCCGGAGAAGAGCTGTGAGTGAAATAAAGATGATGAGATTGAAGGAGAGACACAACTTGTTATTTTTCTAGTCTGGATTGGGCTGCAATACATAATATCACCCTAAGTTTTAATAACTGAGCAACAACCAGAAAGCTCAATGCCATATGTTATGTATGGTGTCACAAGAAAAAGAGACTGTTAACTGTCTAGAGAAAAGGCCACTTGAGGCATCTGAAAGTGGCTTTCTGGAGGAGAGAAAGGACAAATAAATAAGGTCTCTGAAACAATAAACAGGGAGAAAGGACAAATAAATAAGGTGTCTGAAACAACAAACAAAAGATGGTGAGTGCAAGCAAAAATGAACTGGTTTCCTTAACTTCCAGCAAAGTATTCTGATTGAGGCAATAGTGAGCCCCAGCTATAAGAAAGGACATCAGGTTCTTGAGGTGCTGGGACAATAATTTCAGAGAGACTTTAAGAAATGAAAGAATCTTCAAGAACAACCAGGAAGCTCAACCATGACAAAAAGAACTTTTGTCACCTTAGAGCCAGGATATGGGCACGTAAAGGAATTGGGACACGGAGTTTCCACGTATCAACAGTGTGGAAAAGCGTAAGCTCAGGGGCTAGGCTGCTGGATTTGAACCCCGATTCTGCTCCTTACCAGTTATGGGACCATGGGCAAGTTCCTTAACTTCTCTTTTCTTCAGTTTCCTCTTAGAAGAGTGCTTGGCACTGTGAGTACATATTCACTACTATTAAAATGCCAACAAATATCTATTGTTTTATACAAATTTATATTTATTAACAAAACATAACTATGTTGCAAAAGTTCCTGTCTTGTACTTTGGATATTTTCAGGAATGTCAGATAGAAAACTGGAGACTGTATCAAGCAGGGTACTGTAATTAAAAAGATCCAAGGAAATGTGTGTGTTTGCGTGTTGCAGGGGGGTGGGATAGGTAGGATCAACCCTGTGCAACAAATATATTATTCCTTTTTTGCATGAAGGTAAATGGGAAATTTACATAAAAGACATTGTATATACATTTAATACATCCATGTATTTTTCCACAGGGAATATCCTTTCATCGGCTCTCAAAAGATTGGGTATTTCTAGCTTACTTACCCATGGGGTTTTTATAAAGAATATTTTATCACATACCTACCTTAAGCAACTAATTAAAAGCAATGAATCTTGCTCATAACTTAAAATATAGCTTGATATTCAACTCAGCCATGACTCCCACAGATGTCTATTGGAATTCTTATTGAGGTAGGAATGACAGTCAATACAGCCAGAACCCAGTAAGTCTGTGCACTGGAAAGGCAGTCTTCCTCTCACTTCCCACAAGCATGTACACTATGTCAACACATCTCTAAACCCCAGTGCAAGAGTTTTCCGGACCCATAAATCTATCACTACCAACAACTTATTGAATACTCTTATTTAAAGCCTCAATAAATATGACTCCTTTCTGCTTTTGCTTCAAATGCAATTCAAGTAGATAAGTGTACGCAGTATTACAAATTGAGTTACACTATATTTGATTCAATACCAAGATTTCTTTCCAAATAATAAAATGTCATATTCATTTACCCACATTTCTAGTTTTTCTTTCTTTACATCTGTATTGGTTTAATTTTAATTATATAAAAACATTTTACTAAAAAAATTCAAGCTCAGAAACATTATATTGTAAGAATGAATAGTCCAATTTCACTTTAGGTGAATCGCACTCCCCTCTTCAGAGGTAATCAGGGTTAAGAGTAAGTGGGTTTTAATTTATTTCAGGTAACTTTGCTTTGGTCTTTTCTTCTTTCCTTTCCTTTCTTTTTTTTTTTCTTGTTTGTTTTTACTTTTTTATTTCCTTTTGAAGGAGAGTGTAAACAAAGTTCCTCACTACCACAAATTATGCCATAGGGTTGTCCACATTAAGGAAGTAACAGGGGTCAGAACATTCAGAGTGCAATGGATAAGCCCCACTCTGGGTAAACCACCTTCATCATCACAGTATCTCACCTGCCAGGTAAGTATCTGCAGATCACCTCCCATGCAATATGTAACATACATACATACATATATATATATATATATATATATATATATGTATATATATATATATATACATGAATATATTTATATATGTGTGTGCACATGTCTGCACATACATACATATGATTTTGTTTTTAAACACATATTTTACCAAATGACATGTCTATAATTAATGTCAGTAATTTGCTTTTTTCATTTTGCAATAAGTGTTGGAGAGCTTTCCATGTTGGCATACACATGACTGGTATGTTTATAATCTATGTCATTATTCTACAGTATAAATACACTGGGGTTCAACTAGTTTACTACCAATGGATGTGTAGGTTGAGTGTAGTTTTGTTAACTGTCTAATCCTTGTATTTGCATCATTAGGGAAGTAGGGCTTATTTCTCTAGAAAAGATATCTAGAGGTAGTATCACTGGCACTAGAAAGACTGCACATTACATTTTTGTTAGATCCTGAAATTTTTCCCTGCAAATATGATTTGGCTATGTCCCACCCAAATCTCATCTCGAAGTTTAATACAGGTTGTAATCCCCACCTGCCTGGGGAAGGACCTGGTAGGAGGTGATTGGCTCACAGGGGCTGTTTCTCCCATGCTGTTCTCATGATAGTGAGTTCTCATGAGATCTGATGGTTTTATAAGTGTCAGTTTACCCTCTCTCTCTTTCTTTCTCTTGCCTGTTGCCATGTAAGACATGCCTGCTTCACCTGTAATTTCCATGTATCAAGAGAGGGCGGTAATTGAATTATGGGGGCAGATTTCCGATGCTGCTCTCGTGATAGTGAGTTCTCATGAGATCTGAGGCAGTTTATAAAGCAGTTTTCCCTGCTTGCTCACTCTCTCTCACTTGCCACCATGTAAGATGTGCCTGCTTCCTCTTCTGCTATGACTGTAAGTTTTCTGAGGCCTCCCCAGCCATGCAGAACTGTGAGTCAATTAAACCTCTTTCCTTTATAAATGACCCAGTCTCAGAAAAACTCTTTATAGCAGTGTGTAAACGGACTAATACAGAACTTGTACATGCAACTACAGAGTTAATCAGCATTTGTTTTACATCATCATTACCTACTGTAAGAAATTAAGGTTTGTTATTTTTTCCCACAATGATGAGAAAAATATTATCATTTTCTTTTTATTTACATTTTCCTGCTTGCTAATGAGGTTGAGCATCTTCTAAAATGTTTTTAAGCTATTTGTAGTTATTTAGTTCATTGAATAATTTTTTGTTTTGTAAGTTATGGTCTCTATAAATTATGGTAAGTAATCTTTTGAGAGTTACATGTGTAACATATTTTTTCCCAGTCCGTCACTTTTCTTCATTTATTGTAATTTTGTCATTTGAAAGTTTTAAATTTTTATATAGGTAGATATGACAACTGTCTCCTTTATGAATTCTGAATTTAGCGATTTCTTAAAAAAAATCTTTCAAAGCCCTAAATTATAAATAAATATTCTATTTTCTAAACATAATTTTATATTTCTGTAATTTATATATAATTGTTTGGTCTATTTCAAAATAATTTTGTGAGGGTGCAAGGTAGGGAAAAACTATTTTCTTTTCCAAGTCATCAAGAAACTATCACACAACTATTTATTTAATAGCCTATTTGTTCCTCATTATTTTCACCACAGGGTAACATATGACATTGCCTTTGTCACATATTAAATTGTCCTAGGTAGCTGGACCTGATCTACACTCTTTTTCTGTGCAATTAAGCTGCCTCTTCCTGAATTCCTACGTAAGTAGGGTAAGTTTAGCTGCTATACACCTTTACATTGTATTTTTTAATGAAATTGTGCAAATGCCACTTTTTGATATTCTCAAAATAGTCTTGGCTATCATTACATTTTTCTCTTCAATTGAACTTTAAACATGTCAAGTTCCATAAAGTGTTCTTTTAAGATTTTATATGAGATTGTATGAAATTTATAGATTTGGGGGAAAACATCTTCACAATGTTAAATATTCTTCTTCAGGAATATGCTATGCCTCTGCATTTATTTAGGTTGATTTATATATCCTTCAAAGAGTGTTGCATTGTTTTCATAATGGTCTTTTAGATCTTTTGTTAAGTTTAATTCTCACTGATTTTTGGTTTCTGCTGCTATTCTGATTGGGACATTGTTCCATTATATGTTCTAATTGATTATTACCCTATATAGAAAAGTTACTGTGCATTAAATTTGTATACAAATTCCTTATTAGTTTTAATCATTGTTTTAACTTTATTTTCTTGGATTTTCTAGGTAGGTGATCACATTTTATACAAAATGAATGGTAGTTTAATACATATATTTTGGATATATCGTAGTTTAATGCCTGTGTAAACAGTGAATACATGTGTCTGTCCTGTTTATATTTATCTTTATGAAATTTTGAATAGTAATATTTAGAGTAGATACTATCATATTCTTCCTAACTATATGATGGCCCTTCACAGATAAACAAGAAATAATACTCCAGAGCTTCAAATATTCTGTCACCTGTTTTATTCAGAGGACATTCATATTTCTATAGCCAAATAATAATCATGAAAATATGATACTGTGCTTAAATAGCAATACTTCAAATCACTTCAATCACCATACATTATAAGTTCCTCATAAAAGCCACCAAAACTAAAATACAATGTGTTTAATAAATTTTTATTACACTGCCAACTGAAGTTATCATAATAATGTAATTTTGCCATAAAATTTGATTATATTTTATTTCATATTATATTTTATTTCATGTTGATAGACACAAATGGATATGTGACAAATATATAAAATATAATCCTAATAGCAAAATAACCACTATGTAACCACATTCAAATTAAGAATAACTGTGTTTTGATCCATATGCAGAAGAATAAAACTAGACCTTTATCTCTCACCATATAAAAATCAAATCAAAAAAGATTGAAGACAAATCTGAGACTTCAAACTATTAAACTGCTAAAATAAAACATTGGTGAACCTCCTCAGGACTTTGGACTGGGCAAAGATTTCTTGAGTAATACCCCATCACCAGCACAGGAAACTAAAGCAAAAAAATGGACATTGGATTTGCACCAAAAAGGAAACAATCAACAAAGTGAAGGACATCCCACAGAATGGCAGAAAATACTTGCAAACTATCCATCTGACAAGAGATTAATAACCAGAATATATAAGGACATCAAATAATTGTATGGAAAATAATCTAATAATGTGATTTTAAAATGGGCAAAAGATCATAATAGACATTTGTATTAGTCCATTTTCATACCGCTATAAAGAACTGCTTGAGACTGGGTAATTTATAAAGTAAAGAGGTTTAGTTGACTGACAGTTCCATGTGGCTGGGGAAGCCTCAGTAAACTTACAATTAGGGCACAAGGCAAAGGGGGAGCAAGGCACCTTCTTTACAAGGCAGCAGGAAGGAGAAGTAAACACAGGAGGAACTATCAAACACTTATAAAACCATCAAATCTCATGAGAACTCACTCACAATCACAAAAAACACCATGAGGGAAACCACCCCCATGATTCAGTTCCGCCACCTGGTCTCTCCCTTGACATGTGGGGATTATGGAGATTACAATTTAAGATGAGATTTGGGAGTAGGGACACAGCTAAACCATATCAAATTTTCTCAAAAGAAGACAAATAAATGGAAAACAATCATATAAAAATGTACTCAAGTCATTGATAATCAGAAAAGGTTAAATAAAAACTACAATGATACATCATCTCACTCCAGTTAAAATGGCTTATATCCAAAAGATAGGCAATAACAAATACTGGAAAAGATGTGAAAAAAGGTAACCTTCATATACTGTTGGTGGGAATGTAATTAGTACAATAACTATAAAGAAGAGTTTGGAGGTTCTTCAAAAAACTAAAAGTAGAGTCATACAATCCAGGAATCCCACTCCTATGTATATACCTCAAAAAAGCAAATCAGTTTATCAAAGAGATGTGTTTACTCCTGTTTATTGCAGCACTATTCACAATAACCAAGATTTTGAAGCAGCCTAAGTGTCCAGCAAGAGATCAATGGATTAAGAAAATATTGTATTTATATACAATGAAGTACTATTCAGCCATAAAGAAGAATGAGATTCTGTCATTTATAACAGCATGGATGGAACTGGAGATCATCATGTTACGTGAAATAGGCCAGGCACAGAAAGAGAAACTTTGCATGTTCTCATGAATTTGTGGGAATCAAACATTAAAACAATTACACTCATGAAGATAGAGAGTAGAATTATGATACCCAGAGGCTGGAAAGGATAGTGGTAGGGATGGGGGGAATGGGGATGGTTAATGGGTACAAAAAATAGCTATAGAATACATAATACCTAATATTTGATAGAACAACAAAGTGACTATGGTCAACAATAATTTATTGTATATTTTAAAATAAAAGCATATTGGGATATTTGTTACATCATAAAATATATATGTTTGAGGTGATGGATACTCAATTTTTCCTGACGTGATTATTATAAACTGTACTTCTGTATCAAAATATTTTAATGTACTCCATAAGTATATACACCTACTATGTGCTCATAAAAATTTAAAATTAAAATTTCTTGGAATTCTGCCAACATGGTCAAATAGGAACAGCTCCAGAACACAGTTCCCAGTGAGAAAGATGCAGAAGGCAAGTGATTTCTGCATTTCCAACCAAGGTGGCAGGTTCATTTCAATGGGACTGGTTGGACAGTGGGTATAGCCCAAGGAGGGCAAGCTGAGGCAGGGCAGGGCATTGCCTCGTCTGGGAAGTGCAACTAACCAGAGGATTGGAGACTTCCCTCCTGCTCCAGCACTCCGGTTCAGATACTGCGCTTCTCCCATGGCCTCTGCAACCCACAGATCAGGAGATCCCTGCTGGGCTGAAAAGTGCCGCAAGTTACCAGCACAGATCTGAGTGGCAGCTTTGCTGGCACCTTGGGCTGTTGGCACAAACATGGGCAGATGTTTTGACTAGCACCGAGAGCA